GGGAAACAATGGTATAAAAGTCCTACTGTATTTCTATATGAAAACACATAAATAAAATAAATTCATAATTATCACAGATTTTGCCATTTCTTCTTCAATTTCCCTACTCTTTGCTCTTGGCAGACATCACTTTGAGCTTACTTTCTGCTGTATTTTCTTCTTTTACCATCTGTGTCAGACAGCCAGAAAGTCTTGAAAGACGGATTTTTGCATTTCAGTATCACATGTATCAAACTAATTTTATCTCACCATAACTTCCATGGTTCAAATCGGACCAGGAACCTTTCTTTCATGTCATATCCTGTCCCTATCTCTGCTCCTTCTGTCTGTTTATTTATGTCAAACTAAATTTTGAGAAAATGCTGATACGGCTGGATTGTTTTAGTATGAATTAAAGTATAGAAATGTTGTTGTTGGGCAGAAGCTAAAACATCCCTACAGTACGTGTCATCTTTAGTCTGCACTCGGTTGCTGGGTTTCCATGGCAACACTCACTGCCTAATCATCCCTACAGCAAAGTAAAAATCTATTCTCACTCACAGTGCTTTTATTAGACGTTTTTAATGCTTGTTTTGAATCAAATTGACAGATGATATAATCTCCCTGATGTACTGGAGTTTTGGGATTTATACCAAACAAATTCCTTCTATTAACTGCTTCTTTGAAATGTTTTTGTTCTTGCAATAATCTTGAAGTTGATTAACCTTTGTGTCTGTTTTTCTGTGTTCAGAGCAAGTGTCAGCGCGGATTGTGCAGGAAGTGACGGCGGAGGCAGTGGCGGTACTGAAGGGAGAGCAGGAGACTCAAAGGCTGCCATCAGGTAAGACACACGCACACACTTATTAACATTGCTATGTACATTTTATATTCTTAATGTTCAGTCAGGATCATAGTTAGTATTATCATGGGACGACAGCTAAATAACAAAGTTAATATCAGTCCTGGTAAGCATACAGTCACTACGGATGAGAATGGGGAGAGATTATCATAATGTGTTTTGGGAGAAAATGAGAATAGATAAGAAATAAATATACTTAATTATTAAAGAAGATTTTCAAAAATAATAATTATTCCTTCCTCTATCTCGCACCTACCTTTGAAGTTGAAGACACCACAAATTTGCCCCCGTCACCTCCCCCCTCACCTGCTGCCGAGCACTTTGGTCCTCTGGAACAAGGTAGGCCAAGAATACAACGCGTGTTCATGAGAGTATTTCTCTAAAAGAGAAGATTGTGATTTCCTTCTTTTCCCCGACTGAAGCCTTGGGATGTTTTGTTGGCCAACACATTTGGGTATTGATGTTGGTTGGCTCTGGGGATTCTCTTTAACCCCCCAAGGCACAC